CAGGAAATGAAAGCACTTCCACGAGAAGAACTGTGCACAGGTGTCCAGAGCAGCTTGACTCAAGGAGCCTCCCTTGGAGACAGCCCGAATGTTCTTCACTGGGTGAATGGAAGAGCAAGTGTGGAATTCGAAACAGAAAGGAACTGTTGATAGGCTCAGCAGTGTGGCTACATCATCAGTAAATACTGAGTAATGAGAAACCAGAGCAAGAGAATACTTATGATGTGATTCCATTTGTATCAACTTCTGAAACTCCCGGAGTCTATAGTGACAGCCAGTGGGCGACTGTCAGGGGATAGAAGCGGGTGTAGCAGAAGAAAGGACCGCAGGGGACCATGGACTGCAGGCTTCTGTGAGCTGCTGTGGGGCGGCTCCAGGTGTATACAAGGGCAAGACTAAGTAAGCTCAGCTTGTAATGATCAGTGATACCTTTAAAAGGCCGTGATGCCACGTTACACATGCAAGGATAAACTGTATCAGTCTGTGCAGCGCACGGGGCTATCAGAGCTCTCTCCCAGCACTTGCTCCCCCGACCCAGCCTTCCTCACGGCCCCGGGGCCACTGCGCCCCTTTGACCTCAGGCGTTGTCTCAAATGTGCCTGCCTGTCACCCAGTGGAAACAGCCCCTGAGGCGGGGCATCCACACAGCTTGCATTCCACAGACCCCCGTGCCAGCCTAAAATTACCAACAGTGTCAGAATCTAATTTAAGGGGGTTTATTCAAAGTCAGTTGGAGGCTAACCCACCTGGAAACACCAGCCCCAGAGGAATGGAGTCTGCCCTCAGAAGCAGGGAGGGGAAGGGGGCCCTCAGTTAGGCAGAGGCTGAGGGGCTTTTAGCAGGACCTCGGTGTCCTTCAGACCAGGTGGGCGCACAGTCACAGTCACAACGTTTGATGATGATGGGCAGTGCCTGTTTTGGAAAGGGTGCGTTTAACCCATCAGAGGGTGTGGCAGTCATTTTCCGGTTTCTGATCTAAGCAGAGCGGAACAAAGGGGAAGTGAAATCCATGAGCATCATGGACCAGGAAGGCAGGAGGTTCTGCTGTGGGTTAATTCTCTCCAGTCTTTGTGCAGAACAAGGAAACAGCGTTAGTCCCTGCCCTGAGAGAGGGGAGCAGTAAGTGCACATGAGGGGCACGGTCCCATCTCTCACTGGCTTAATGTGCCCAGACCGTGTTCCTGTTCACACCTGCGGGTAGGGGAAGCAGGCCCCGGTGACCCACAGGGCCTTGGATGAGGCCGCAGCTGAGGCCGGCCCTGCCAGGGCTGACCCCAAGGCTGTGTTGAACTTGGGCTCCAGCACTGGCCCTGTGTCTTCCTGTGAAGGAGATCTGCACCCCAGGTCTGTGCACTGACTGCCCCCACTCCCAGGCCCCACGCTCAGCCTGCTTCAGCCTGTGTGTCCTCAGAGCACTTTCACTCCATCCACCTGGATCTCCTTATCTTGGTGGCTGGCCGCACTGTGGGTGCCAGGACCCTCTCCTGTGTGAGTTGGAGCTGGGCGCAGGGAGTTGTGGGGAGGGGGCCCCATGAGAAGGGACCACGATGGAGCAAGGACTGAGCTCGGGAAGGAGGGTGCTCTAGGCCCGGGCAGTGTAGGGGAGGCTCAGGGGAGAAGCGCTGGGGGCCGTTACCCTCAGGGCCTGTGGCTAAACTCTGACAGAACGGGAAGCTCATGGAGAAGTGTCTTCAGCGGGACGTAGGGAGCACGGGGGGCTCTGTGTTGGTGATTTGATTTGAAGCATTCCTGGCAGGGAACGAGGGGGCTTTGTGTTGCTGGTTGGAGGCATTCCTGGCACTGGTGACAGCAGGGCTGGAGGGTAGGGCAGGGCCTGGGGGCAATGGGGGTTGGAAGAGGGGACAGAAAAGCTCAGATTCTGCCTCAAGTGGTGGGTGGGGCTGCTGGGTTTGTTAATGCATGGGATGGGGGTGGGACAGGAGTCATGCTGGTCACATATGTCAAATGTGGGTGTCTGAAATCCCTGTGGTGACAGCTATAGGCTGTGGCCTCTGGGATCTGGAGTGCAGAGTGTGTTCTGGGCTGAGGCGCATCTGAGGATGGTGGTCCACAGACCCCCTGGGCAAGTGCAACGGGGAGGTAGGTGGGAGCCCTGGGTGCAGACGGGGGTGGAGGGAGGTGGGTAGGGTCCCAGGTGCAGATGGGAGTGGGAGGGGGAGGGAAAGGTGGGAGGAGGAGAGAGGGAGGGAGAGGTGGGGTCCCCAGATGCAGATGAGGGGCACAGGGGGAGGTGGGTTGGGGTCCCAGGTGCAGATGGGGGTGGGAGGGGGAGGGAAAAGGGGGAGGAGGAGAGAGGGAGGGAGAGGTGGGATGCCAGGTGCAGATGGGGGTAGGAGAAGGAGGCTGGTGAGAGCCCCGGGTGCAGACAGGAAGGGAGGCAGGTGGAGGCCCCGGTGCAGATGGGGGCGGGGGGCAGGCCCTCATAGGATGACTGTGTGTGTCTCTTCTACCTCTCCCATTGCGTGGGCTAAAATGTGCTAAATCTCCAGCACTGGACGGGACAGAAGGAGAGACCATGGGCCAGAGCTCTGCCTGTTTCTGGAACACAGTGTGGGGAGGTGCGGGTCTCAGTGTGGGCTCTCCATCCTGAGGAACGGCCAGATGCCTGTGGTCAGAGCGTGGGCTGCTGCAGCCTCCACTTCAGCCGTTTATTTCCTAGTAGCCACTGAGCTGCCCCGTGGACTCTGGGCAGATGCCAGTGTTCGCTGGGAAGGATGGCAGCAGCCGTGAGGTGGCAGCAAGGCCAGGGCACTTTGCGGACAGCATGGACGGTCAGGTGCCCAGGGACACCAGAGGGCGGCTGACGCCTCATTCGCCCTGGCCTTCCAAGTGGTCTGAGGCTCTAGGAGCTGCTGGCCGGAGTACGGTGGGTCTTCTGGGGCCCCAGGCACTGAGTCCCAGGTGACCTCCACTGCACAGGACGGCCCCTCACTCATGCTGCCCTTGCAATGAAGAGAGGCACTGGCTGCAACTCGCTGGCCTGTGTGACTGATGGAGGCTGACAGCCTGGAGCCCCAAGCACCCCTGGCAGGAGCTGACCCACTTTCCCGTCCCTGGGCTGGAAACCTTGACATAACAGATGGCTGCAGGGTCCTGCTGTCCCTCCAGTAGGGAGGAGATGTTTTTAATTAAAAAGGAGGCACGGAGCTCCAGAACGGCCACAGCAAGATCCAGTCCGTGCGTGCTGGTCCATCAGCACCCATAGGTGAAAGGGCACAGCCGGGGCTTATCTCAGGGTGTCCATGTGAGCACAGAGGTGCTTAGCAGGGACCACGCCATGCATTGGAATGATATTCTCCTCTTCTTTCTGAGATCTTTCTTCACGAAAGACCTACTTAGAATGAGTCACTGAAGCAGTTGCGTGAGCTGTGCTGTCCAGCAGAGCTGTCTTCGGTGCCAGAAATGGCCCCTCTCTGTGCTTCCCCCCGGCCCCCTGTCAGCTGCCGCCGCCCACACAAAGCTATTTGGTACTTTAAATGTGTGTTGTGAATTTTTAGTTTTAAATTTAAAAAGCCACATGTGGCTGGTGGCTACCGTGCTGCAGTGAAGCTAGAGCGCTGATCTGTGAGGATGAGCTTCAGAATGTTTGTGCTATGTAAAGTCCTGTTACGTACAATGCTGAAGTCACTGAGTGTGTCAATGAAGTCACCTGTAGATGCGTTTTTAAGCACGGGTATAGACAGCGTGTTACTTTGTCAGCACAGAGGTGCATCCGTGGTGTGGCTCCTGTCCAGCCCCCGACACCCGTGGCTGCTCTTTAAAGATTCTCCTTACGTGCCACACAGGCAGTTGGAATGGGCTTTGCTTCTGTGCTTTTTGTGTTTTTCTTTTTGCATATTTTTTAACAGAACTATTTTATCGAGAAAAAACAAAAAACCTTTGCCTCAACTTTTAACCCACAGTGTCTTCTGTGTGAACCGGCTGAATAAAGGGCAGTGTCCAGGCAGCTCTGTTCTGGGGGGCGGGGCTTCACAGGGCTCTGCTCCTGACGGATTTGGAGAGGCAGCCCCCTCGGTGAGGCGTTGCCCTTCAGCAGAGTCCAGTACCTCGGAGCAGTGTTTCCACGGTGCCACACAAAGTCGCCCTGCCTGTCCCACGAGTCCTCCACTTTCACCGTCATCATTCTTTGCCAGTAAATCATAAATTGAGGCCTTACTTTGCCCAGTGGGCCCAGTCAGCTTGTTGAATGACGGTGTGCAGCAGGGGCATGACAGCGGCAGACAGCACTGTGTGGGCGGAAGGCACTTGCCGAGAGCTGCCAGGGACACCCAGCCATGTGGCAGCTTGGTTGACGGAGACGAAATCACATGAAGCATGAGGGATGAGGACGACGGGCTCGGGGCAGGAAGGGCCACCTCCCACACCTTGGCAGGGGGACTCTGGCATCCCACCACTGTGCACTGAGGCCTCAGCACAAGCGGTGGGCAGAGCCGCAGGGCGCTGGGCCTCACAGAGGTGGCTCCTGCCACTCTCTAGCTCAGGCATCCCCAAACTACGGCCCGCGGGCCGCATGCGGCCCCCTGAGGCCATTTATCCGGCCCGCCGCCGCACTTCAGGAAGGGGCACCTCTTTCATTGGTGGTCAGTGAGAGGAGCACAGTATGTGGCGGCCCTCCAACTGTCTGAGGGACAGTGAACTGGCCCCCTGTGTAAAAAGTTTGGGGACGCCTGCTCTAGCTGCTGAGAGAGGTGCCCCTGTGACCCTGGGCAGACGCAGACATTAGCCAGGGGACAGGGTAGCCTGCCCAGCATCAGGAGCAAGGCAGCTGTGGGGCTGTGCCCAGACCCAGAGGCTCAAGGCCCTCCTTTGGACTCCTGCACACCTTGTGCCCAGCAGGCGAGGCCTGGTCAGCACGTGGCGGGTGGGCAACCCCATCCCTCTGCCCCCTGGGAGGCCGGAGTGGTGGTGACCCAGGACGCCCGGATGTGTGTGGGCTGTGAGACGCTTCTCTCAGCAGCAGCTCTGTCTTCTCTCTCCAGGTGACGCCTTCTGGGTCCCGTCTGTTCTTCCTCACAGCACCTTGAGCGCCTTAAGCCACCACGCCCAGCCACATTTTGGCAGAAGGATGGAGTCCAAGGTCTCAGAAGGTGGCCTGAACGTGACCCTGACCATCCGCCTGCTGATGCATGGAAAGGTAAGAAGAGTGGCCATTGGCACTGTAGGAAACGTGGCCACTGCAGACGGAGCGGGAGACCCACTGCCTGGGTCTTTGCCTCATTTTTCAATTTTGTTTTAAGCAATCTCAAACTTACAAAGCAGTTACAGGTACAGGCCCTTGAGACTCAGTGCCACCCTGATACCTTCTGTGTGTTTCCCACAATCAAGGACCTTCTCCAGCACAACCACACGCAGCCATCGGTGTCAGGGCACCCGCAGGATGCGTTCCCACAGTCGGGGCACCCGCGGGATGTGTTCCCACCATCAGGGCACCCACGGGATGCGTTCCCATCGCCAGCCTCCCCTGACCACACGCAGCCATCGGTGTCAGGGTATGCACCAGAGTGTCCCACCACTGGCCTCCCTTGGTAACGGCCACAAAGTATCTCCTGGCCCGCTGTCTTGAGTCCCTGCCTCCTGCAGTAGTTCCCAGCTTTGTGCAGTTGGCAGTTTTGGCAGTGCGTGTGGGGCGCAGCGCGTATGGGGCGCAGCGCGTGTGGAGTGCCCATGCCTTGGTCCGGGTCTCCTGGCCATTGGCAGGAACATAGCAGCAGCTCCACCCCAGGCTGTACCCATCAGCTGCTCCCAGGTGCTCCTCTCCCCCCGTGATAGGAAGTCATGGACTTGGTCCTTGAAGCTGCATCGATGTCCCACCTGTCCTCAGCCTTCCAGGGCCTGTGTTTCTATCCTCTGGGACTCGGGTTGCTGTGTTCCTCCCTGGCTCTTCCTTCCGTGACCGCATGATTTGCTCTGATGCCCTTGCTGCCCCTCACTGGCCCCGAGTCCACCGAGCCGCTGTTCCTGCAGCCCCATCCCCCTCTCTGCTGATCTTGTCCTCCCTGCCCTAGTCCTGGAGCCAGCCACTTCCCCAGTGGCTCCTGTGTGTGGTGGCGTGTTCTAGCCAGGGTGCACTGTGCTCCCGGGCTGCGCAGCCGCAGGACACTTCCTTCCATGTTCAGCTCCCTGTGGGGTGCCCCAGCGCCAGCCCCACAGCACAGGGTCCGTCCAGCTCTTCCTGCCTCAGGTGTGTACCACGACGAAGCCAACCGCCAGCACCTGTGTGTGGCCCCTGCCGGGAGGAGGCCGGCAGAGGCTCTGGGCTTCAGCACCCGCGGCATTGCCACATCCTAGATTTCCAGAAGACACGGCCTCCTCCCTGGGGGAAGGTGGTGGTGCCCACACCCAGAGCATTCATTTCTGCAGTTGAGACAGAAGGACCTGCCTGTCCCCCAACTGGGGGTGTCAGGAGCAAGGCCGCATGGCAGATGGGGCTCTCCCTGAGGCCAGGTGCACGCCCCACTCCAGCACGGCAGCCACGCCACCCAGATGCCCTCTGTGGGGGAGGTGCCCTGATGATGGGGGCCCCTCCTCGTGTCCAGTGGCCTCTGCCTCCACGGAGCCCTCTGCACACACCATCCTCAACGGCCTCACAGACGTCATCATCACTGCCCCTGCTCCAGGTGACAGGCCACAGTGGCATCTGCCTGTCAGCTCTGTCCTGCTCCCGGACAGGGAGACACTGGGCCTCTTGGTCCAGCAGGAAATGTGTGTCCCGAAACCGCCTCGGGCTCGCTGTCAGAACCGGGGCAGCATCTTGCAGTGTTCCTTTTAACAGGCTGCCTTCCAAATAGGAGTCCGGAAGCAAGAGCACCGCTATTTTCTTTAAGTCACACAATTGAAGGAGAATTTGTTTTTCATGCATTTCCCCCAGGGTTTCCCGGAGGCCTGAACTGTGTAGGTGACGCTGCTGAGTCATTTATCGGGGCAGTCAACCACCCTCCCACAGGGCACCTAGTCAGAGGCAGCCCAGCTCCGGCCTGGTCAGGCGGGCACCAAGGAAGGCCCGGTTCAGGGCCTCTTATAGGCAGTCAAGCTTGTGTGCAACCCCCTGGCAGATTCTGAATTCTCCTCTCTTCACTCACACCAGGAAGGTCCCCTCTTCACTCACACCGGGAGGGTCCCTCTTCACTCACACCGGGAGGGTCCCTCTTCACTTATACCGGGAAGGTCCCTCTTCACTCACACCGGGAGGGTCCCTCTTCACTTATACCGGGAAGGTCCCTCTTCACTCACACCGGGAGGGTCCCTCTTCACTCACACCGGGAAGGTCCCTCTTCACTCACCCAGGGAGGGTCCCTCTTCACTTATACCGGGAAGGTCCCCTCTTCACTCACACCGGGAGGGTCCCCTCTTCATTCACACTGGGGAGAGTCCCTCTTCACTCACACCGGGAGGGTCCCCTCTTCACTCACACCAGGAGAGTCCCTCTTCACTCACACCAGGAGGGTCCCTCTTCACTGACACCGGGAGGGTCCCCTCTTCACTGACACCGGGAGGGTCCCTCTTCACTGACACCGGGAGGGTCCCTCTTCACTCACACCGGGAGGGTCCCCTCTTCACTTATACCGGGAAGGTCCCCTCTTCATTCACACTGGGGAGAGTCCCTCTTCACTCACACCAGGAAGGTCCCCTCTTCACTGACACCGGGAAGGTCCCCTCTTCACTCACACCGGAAAGGTCCCTCTTCACTCACACCGGGAGGGTCCCTCTTCACTCACCCAGGGAGGATCCCTCTTCACTCACACTGGGAAGATCCCTCTTCACTCACACCGGGAAGGTCCCCTCTTCACTCACACCGGGAGGGTCCCCTCTTCACTCACACCGGGAGGGTCCCCTCTTCACTCACACCGGGAGGGTCCCCTCTTCACTGACACTGGGAGTGTCCCTCTTCACTCACACCGGAAAGGTCTCCTCTTCACTCACACCGGGAGGGTCCCTCTTCACTCACACTGGGAGGGTCCCTCTTCACTCACACCGGGAAGGTCCCCTCTTCACTCACACCGGGAGGGTCCCCTCTTCACTCACACCGGGAGGGTCCCCTCTTCACTCACACCAGGAGGGTCCCCTCTTCACTGACACTGGGAGTGTCCCTCTTCACTCACACCGGAAAGGTCTCCTCTTCACTCACACCGGGAGGGTCCCTCTTCACTCACACCGGGAGGGTCCCTCTTCACTCACACCGGGAGGGTCCCTCTTCACTTATACCGGGAAGGTCCCTCTTCACTCACCCAGGGAGGGTCCCTCTTCACTTATACCGGGAAGGTCCCTCTTCACTCACACCGGGAGGGTCCCTCTTCACTCACACCGGGAAGGTCCCTCTTCACTCACCCAGGGAGGGTCCCTCTTCACTTATACCGGGAAGGTCCCCTCTTCACTCACACCGGGAGGGTCCCCTCTTCATTCACACTGGGGAGAGTCCCTCTTCACTCACACCGGGAGGGTCCCCTCTTCACTCACACCAGGAGAGTCCCTCTTCACTCACACCGGGAAGGTCCCTCTTCACTCACACCGGGAGGGTCCCTCTTCACTGACACCGGGAGGGTCCCTCTTCACTCACACCGGGAGGGTCCCCTCTTCACTGACACCGGGAGGGTCCCTCTTCACTGACACCGGGAGGGTCCCTCTTCACTCACACCGGGAGGGTCCCCTCTTCACTTATACCGGGAAGGTCCCCTCTTCATTCACACTGGGGAGAGTCCCTCTTCACTCACACCAGGAAGGTCCCCTCTTCACTGACACCGGGAAGGTCCCCTCTTCACTCACACCGGAAAGGTCCCTCTTCACTCACACCGGGAGGGTCCCTCTTCACTCACCCAGGGAGGATCCCTCTTCACTCACACTGGGAAGATCCCTCTTCACTCACACCGGGAAGGTCCCCTCTTCACTCACACCGGGAGGGTCCCCTCTTCACTCACACCGGGAGGGTCCCCTCTTCACTCACACCGGGAGGGTCCCCTCTTCACTGACACTGGGAGTGTCCCTCTTCACTCACACCGGAAAGGTCTCCTCTTCACTCACACCGGGAGGGTCCCTCTTCACTCACACTGGGAGGGTCCCTCTTCACTCACACCGGGAAGGTCCCCTCTTCACTCACACCGGGAGGGTCCCCTCTTCACTCACACCGGGAGGGTCCCCTCTTCACTCACACCAGGAGGGTCCCCTCTTCACTGACACTGGGAGTGTCCCTCTTCACTCACACCGGAAAGGTCTCCTCTTCACTCACACCGGGAGGGTCCCTCTTCACTCACACTGGGAGGGTCCCTCTTCACTCACACTGGGAAGGTCCCCTCTTCACTCACACCGGGAGGGTCCCCTCTTCACTCACACCGGGAGGGTCCCCTCTTCACTCACACCGGGAGGGTCCCCTCTTCACTCACACCGGGAAGGTCCCCTCTTCACTGACACCGGGAAGGTCCCTCTTCACTCACCCAGGGAGGGTCCCTCTTCACTTATACCGGGAAGGTCCCCTCTTCACTCACACCGGGAGGGTCCCTCTTCACTCACACCGGGAGGGTCCCCTCTTCATTCACACTGGGGAGAGTCCCTCTTCACTCACACCGGGAGGGTCCCCTCTTCACTCACACCAGGAGGGTCCCTCTTCACTCACACCGGGAAGGTCCCTCTTCACTCACACCGGGAGGGTCCCTCTTCACTGACACCGGGAGGGTCCCTCTTCACTGACACCGGGAGGGTCCCTCTTCACTTATACCGGGAAGGTCCCCTCTTCATTCACACTGGGGAGAGTCCCTCTTCACTCACACCAGGAAGGTCCCCTCTTCACTGACACCGGGAAGGTCCCCTCTTCACTCACACCGGAAAGGTCCCTCTTCACTCACACCGGGAGGGTCCCTCTTCACTCACCCAGGGAGGATCCCTCTTCACTCACACTGGGAAGATCCCTCTTCACTCACACCGGGAAGGTCCCCTCTTCACTCACACCGGGAGGGTCCCCTCTTCACTCACACCGGGAGGGTCCCCTCTTCACTCACACCGGGAGGGTCCCCTCTTCACTGACACTGGGAGTGTCCCTCTTCACTCACACCGGAAAGGTCTCCTCTTCACTCACACCGGGAGGGTCCCTCTTCACTCACACTGGGAGGGTCCCTCTTCACTCACACCGGGAAGGTCCCCTCTTCACTCACACCGGGAGGGTCCCCTCTTCACTCACACCGGGAGGGTCCCCTCTTCACTCACACCAGGAGGGTCCCCTCTTCACTGACACTGGGAGTGTCCCTCTTCACTCACACCGGAAAGGTCTCCTCTTCACTCACACCGGGAGGGTCCCTCTTCACTCACACTGGGAGGGTCCCTCTTCACTCACACTGGGAAGGTCCCCTCTTCACTCACACTGGGAGGGTCCCTCTTCACTCACACTGGGAAGGAAGGTCTCTCTTCACTCACACCAGGAAGGTCCCTCTTCACGCACACCAGGAAGGTAGCCTGGCTTCAGCAGTCTCTGCCTCCCCTGTTTTTCTCCTGCTCTATGACACCGTCTTTCTGTGATTCTTTTCCTGCAGGAAGTTGGAAGCATCATCGGGAAGGTAATTATTGATTGAATCTCTGCCTCTTTTGGGGGTCTCTGTAAGGGGATGGTGAGGACAGCAGCCACCCTGGGTGCTAGGTGGCACCCAGTAGGTACACCTTTCCTGGTAGGTGGGTGGTGTGTTCCATGAAGTCAGGACCCCAAGGGTGCTGCCTTTATGCCGCGTGACGGCGGAGCTTGTCCCTGGCTCTCTGCGGCGGAGGGGAAGGGCCTGGCCGCCTGACTGCCTCTGCCCGTGGCCTTGGTGGCCAGTCCTCCTTTCCCGGTTGAAGACCCCACAAAGAAGGATTTCCCACACCTTCTTCAGCCGGCCGTGTCATCTGGGTGGTCTCCAGGAGTTCTGGCAGAGGCAGCAGCACCCGACACTCCCTTCCAGATCAGGGCTGGCCGGGGAAGTAAGGCCCGGTGTGGAAGCTGCCTCGTGAGGCTGAGCAGTGAGGGCCTCCCCGTCTTCGTCACATTTTCACCACCTCCAGGACCTGTGTCCTTCCCCTCTGTCGTAGCTCATCGTCCCGGCTTCCTCACGAGTGCTTCAGCAAGCACGTCTCTGAGAGCCACCACCTCTGGAGGTGAGGGCGGTGAGCCATGCAGGGCACCTGCAGGCATGCACACTGCCCTGTGCCAGGAGTTAGCTGTGGGAGCCAGGTTGGGCCCACCCCACCCTTCCCAGACATGTGCCCTTGGGTGGGTGCACTTGCCTTCCTGTGCCTCAGTTTCCCATCCGAATGCCCACTAGAGTGTGGTGGGCATGGAGCCTGGTCTCCAAGGAGGAGGCTCGGCTGTGTGGGCACATGGGGCAGGCCACTACCCACCCACCCTGGGCCGTGCTGTCCTCAGAGCCAGAGATGCAGAGGCTGCCCTGTGTGCCTCGAGCCCCTGCATGCCCTCAGCGGAGCTACAAGGGACACCTTTTCCTTATTGTCTAAATGTTTATTCCAGAAAGGAGAAACCGTGAAGAAGATGCGTGAGGAGGTGAGTGTAGTGGGTCCCCATCTGTTAACAGCCGCTTTCGGGCGGGCGGGGAGGGTGCCCAGGCTCTGCCCCTGCCGACGCAGGGCCTCTTTCCCCTACTCAGGCCTCCTGTGCTTCCCTGAGGGAAGGGATCCTTGGATTCCTTTTGCTCATTAAAGTTTCATTGTAAAGGAGATTGTTGAGAAGGGTTTACTGTTGGGTAGTGGTTTGCCAGTTAGGGGACAAAGGCATGTGTTTGTATCAATTGTCTTCAGACTTGCGGCCCCAAGCCCCCTGGCCAAAGGGCTTTAATCGGTTGCTGGGGTTCCTCTGCTCTCACCCTAGAGTGGTGCCAGGATCAACATCTCAGAGGGAAACTGCCCAGAGAGGATCGTGACCATCACAGGCCCAACAGATGCCATCTTCAAGGCCTTTGCCATGATTGCATACAAGTTTGAGGAGGTAACCTGCACCCCCAGTAACCTCCACCAGCCTGGTCTCAGCCGGCTCCCTGGGTCCCTCTTCCCTGCACTTGTACTAGGGGATCACCCAGGTGGCCCCATAACTACAGTCACCTCCTTTGCCTCCCAGGGCCTCTCCCCAGCTCTGGTTCACCCGGTCAGGGGCCAGTGTCCCTCCGTCCTTCTGAAGCCAGCTCCTCCCAGCTCGTGCACCCTGAGTCCACCTCCCTCAGCTTCCTCAGACCCTGCCCTAGGGCACCGTGCACAGCCTCACAACACCCCACTCTTCCCCCGGGGCACACAGCCCACTTCCCAGCCCCCAGCTAGCTCTGCCACATGGCTCTCAACAAAGCCCTGGCTGGCACAACCCTGGTCCGCAGCCACATGCCACCGGGCTCCCCTGGGAGAGCTGATGTAACCTGGCTTAGATGTAGACGCTGAAAGTGGAGGCCATTCGTGCTGGTGGATGTTAGTTGTGTGTGTGTGTGTGTGTGTGTGTGTGTGTGTGTGTGTGCAGCGCTTCTGTGTATTCTGCCACTGATTTACATTTTAATGTCTTCATGTGTTTCTAGTTTTCTTGAAATTGCTGGAAGTTAGTTAGAGATGCATTTAGTGTCTTTTAGGGGTTACCATTAAGTAGTGAGGGGCACTTTGTAGAAATGAAGACCCCTCCAAGAAGGAGAATGCTCAGAGGTTGTTTATGATTCGGCGCCATCTGTGCTTGACAGAGACTCGAAGGCAGGCGAGGAAGGGGAGCTTCTGAGTGGGAGAGGAGGGCCGCACCCGGGAGGCAGTGGGGGTAGAAGCGGGGCACCCATGTGGCTGGTGGAGGAGTGTGTGGGGCCTTTCCAGTGGTTCCTGAGCTGGAACTGGGGTGCATATAAGGGAAGCTGGTTGTTCAGGGCCGAGTGCAGCGGAGGCTGTGGCCTGGCCTCCAGGGCTGCAGACGTTGGGTCCAGTGTCCCCTATCACAGGTGGGCTGGCCACTGTCTGTAGGTTGTTTCTTAGTTTCCCCTTTTAGCTGCTCTCTTGTTTGCAAGAGGATAGCCAGTTTCGGAAAGGCTAGAGAGCCAGGTCACGCCGCTCGGGGTTGGTTCAGTTGCCCTCTTGGTCAGCTGTGCTGCAGGGTCCTCTGGATCTTTCTGCTGCTCAGTCATCCTGGCCGTCGTCTGATGGGAGACTGATGGAACATGGCAGGCCAGCATCGTGCACCATAACAGAGACAAGAACAACCTGGTCCCCAGATGGTGGTAAAACCGAGGGCACCGTTACCCAGCCCTAGGGAAGAGGACACAGCCCATGGCCATGAGGGCTCGTAGCAGCTCCTTGGGGTGCTGGGCAGCCGGCTCCTGGGACTTTGCTCTGCAAGAAACATGTGCAGTGGCACAAACACCAGTGTGGCTGGCCAACAAGAAACCTGGAGAGATGCAGTCACCCATGACTGCTCGTGCCAACACGCCCCCCACCCAGGGCAAGTGGTGTCCCGAGTACCTTCTGCCAGAGTGGGCAGTGGGTTTCTGACCATAGTTTCTGCCTGTGCAATGCCCACTGTGGGGAACGCTCAGTCGTCCCTTCCACAGAGCACACAAATAATCACAGATGGTCTCGTGTTCGGACTCAAATTTGAGTCAGAATTTCCAGCCGTGGAGATTAATAGAATTAGGATCTTTAGATACAGAGAAGTCTCCGAAGCTATTCCTAAGGTATCTGAGGTATTCGTCTGAGGCCAGCAGGACCTGGTGACTGGCCCTAAGGACCAGTGTCTGGTGGAGGCATATGGAACCTGGGGAAGGGCTGTTGCTCAGCTGGAGAGGTTGGAACCGCGGCCTGTGCCCGACAGCTGCCGCTGGGACCTGTATTTGTTTCTTGCATGTGGCTGGTGTTTCATGGCCTATCGCTCCATGCAGGTTGCTGAATTTAAGTTTACGATGACCTGGGACTGAGCAGGAGACTTTAATAATTGGTTGTTTCTCTAGAAGAAAGGGGCACTAGTAAAGTCACAGGTGATTTGTTTAGAGTTAGTTGTCCATGTAGACGCAAGCAGAAAGACCATCAGCTGTCATTCCCTAGGGTCCCATTCGATGAAGCCAGTGTATCTGGAGATTCCTATCCCTGGGTCCCGGGGGTGGGTGGTGTGTCCAGTCATCACTGAGAGTGAGGACGGTGGTTGCTGTTTGGGATCATCTAAGAATGGCATTAGAATGAATATGTGCTGACCTAACAATTACCATAAAGTGAAAAGAAAATAGAAAAGGGACCGTCACCAGAGGTGGATGACAAGCGGGGGTCCGTGGAGAATGAGAGGGGGAAAGATTATCTGTAAGCAGATGAAAAGTGAAACAAATCCGACGGAGATCTTGTTAGGACATCTTAGCAGAAACTGTCCCTTATCCAAGGTCATCGGCTTGCAGGAAGGTCTCGGATCAGCCGCTGTTTCTGAAGAATGACTGCCTCTAGAAGGTCTCAGAGAAACCTCAGTTTGGGGTCCCCTGTTGGAGTAGTTTGCTCATTGTGTGGAATTTTCGGTCACCGCTTTGGCTGTGAAATGTGAAACCAAGGACTTGACTCCTGGAGTTTCACTGCTGGATTTGTTAGCAATACCTGGTAAGGCCCCTTTCAATAAGGTAAGAGAAAGAGACTTTTTCTGATGTCTCTTCCAATAGACAACATCTCCTGGTTGCAGGTCATGAGCAGGGTGTTTGGGAAGATGTCATGGGATGCAACTGTGACCTGCTGGTGATAGGCAGGCTGTGAGGAGTCCCTCACAGTCATTCGCCATCCCTGCCTGCAGCAGGGCGCAGTCTAGCATCAGGAGTCCCAGAGGCACGAGCCCCAGTCACCAGTCCCTGGAGGGGCAGCTGAGGTGTCTCCGAGGGAGCACTCTGTGGCCGAGAAGCTCAAGGGGTTCCGAAGGTTTGGATCTGTTGGTCCTTCAGTTTCTCCAGACGCTTGTGGGTGGTCAGCAGTGTTGTTACTGAGTAAGGGGTAACCACGTATAGAGCTCTGTGATAACGGTTTTTGTAAAATGTGGTCCTCAGTCACTTAATGTAAAAGTTGGTGTGCTTCAGGCAAAATCAAGGACTTTTTTAGTAACTTTAAGGACTGTAGCTCTTAAACAAGGAAATGCTTCAACCCATCCTGAAAACAGATGCACAATGGCTGAGGCATTTCTAGTCCCAGGGTGGACGCCAGTTAAAATCCACCTGAGGGCATTCAGAGGGCCCTTGCCTTCACTCTGAGCCATGCCTCGACTTCACGTCATGTCAGGCTTGTGCTGTTGACAGACACCTGGCCTTCAAGTAGCCTCAGCAGTCGTCGTGAATTCTCCCACCAGTGTAGACTGGAGATATTAATCAGCTTGTCTGCGGCATGATGAGCAGTTTCACAGACTGGCTGAGCTAGTAACATTTGAAATTGTGGCACCACAGCCAGCCATCTTGAGAGCTCCAAAGAAGACTGAGCAAAGGGTATAACCAGGATTCTCAGAATCTTTCCATCCTTCCTTTTCAAAGTCAGGGGCCAAGTGTTGAAATCTTACAGTGGCCTCCTTGCTTGCCTCCAGAGATCCAGCCTTGGAGGCTTAGCTGGAGTCCAACGGTGGCTAAAGCACTGGTGGGCGCAACGATCCCCCAGGGCATCTCCTCCAACATCCGCACCAGCCTCGCCCCTGCGGTCGCCAGCTCTCTAGGAAGAATTGTGCCTAAGAACTCCTCAGCCCCGGCCCATGGAGGGCGGGCTTCTAGCAGAGCTAAAAGCCCATTTCCAGAGCATCCACCACATGGGCCCGTGGCTAGCTGACAAGCACCAGCAAGAGTGATGAGTCTGTGGGTAATACCCCCCCAAGCACTGAGGAAGGAGAACTGTCCAGACCCCAGCACAACTAGTGCCTGAGGAATATCTTAGTTTATAGTGTTACTACTCAGCTATTTCCTTTATATATTAGTTTATAGGGTTAGTACCTAAAGTATAACTTACTGCTTGCTATATCTAGCTTATATAATCATATTTAATACCTATGTCTAACATACTTAGTTCCATATAATCTTTCTACATAATCATATAGGTATTGTAGTCAGAGCTGCACTGACACATTCAGTGCTAATTTATAGGATCCTTCCATATAACCGTATAGTAGTCTGTAGTAGGAGGAATGCCTAGAGCAGTCACAGAGCAGAAGCAGTACATGGGAAAACAGCCAGACCAGGATGAGAACCAAAGACCCAGGCGGTGGCGTCCCTGCCTGAAAGGGCACACGCTGTACGGCAGGCTTGGAGCAAGAGCCTCTCCTCCTGAGAAAGGAGTTGTAGCACCTTGCATCCAGTTCCTGTGGAAAGTCGGCCTCAGATCTGAGATCCCACAAGTAACTGAGGGAGAAGAACCCCTCTGGTGTGACCAGTCACGGCGGCTGGACACCCTGTCAGTCTTTTCTCACTTCTGTGCTAGCTCAAATCATCCTCCCGTAAATATCTTAGAGAAGAGCACAAGTCTGTCAGCTCCCACTGCACTGGCTCACAGTATCCTTCTATTAGAAACTCTTTGAAGTCTCAGCCCCCAGATAAGAAGTGTCGTGCACGACACCTGTTGCACACAGCCCACCTCCTTACCTCAGTGACCTAATGGGGGTGGACCCCTTTTCTGCACACGACCCTCTACTACTGCACATGGCATGGCCCCCTACTGCTCACGGCTCACCTCTCTGCCCAGGTGACATATGGGGTGGCCCCCTCGCTTGTGACTCATGTGATTATGTATGCCCTATCACGAAGCCCATAGGGGATGGCCTCACTCACAGCCCTTCTCTTTGCTTGTACCTAATAAACACAGATGCTTCTGGGCATTTGGGGCCCCCGCTCATCTCCACTCATAGGTTGGGTGGCCCCCACGAGTCCAGATGCTCTTCAGTTCTTCAGTGTCCTGTCTCTTTGCTTCTTGGATCCTGCACTTCAGCACAGTATAAGGGACACCCCACGACCCTGTGAGGCCCTACAGCCCTACAGAGGCCTGCATGGAGCATACTTTATCCCCCACAGGGGACTATGTGGCGAAGGAGCCAGGTTAGCGGCCGCACACTGTCCTGTTCTCCTTGGGCTGCCATTGCAAAATGCCACAACTGGGCGGCGTACACAGCAGACCCCGGTTCTCTCACATCCAGGAGGCTGGAGGTCCCGGTTCAGGGTGCCATGAGGGCCGATTCCTCAGGGGCCTCTCTCTTTGGCTTGCAGATGCCATCTTCTCCCTGTGTCCCCGCAGGGTCGTCCCTCTGTGTGCGTCAGTGTCCTCATCCCCTCTTCTTATAAGGACACCAGTCAGATGAGATTAGGGTTCACTGTAGTGACCCCATTTTACATTCATTACCTCAGTAAAGCCCCATCTCTAAACACAGTCACACAGGGGGTCAGGGCTTCAGTGTAGACATAGTCACATGGGGGTGGGTCAGGGCTTCAGTGTAGACACAGTCACACAGCGGGGTCAGGGCTTCAGTGTAGACAGAGTCACATGGGGGAGGGTCAGGGCTTCAGTGACCCTCAGGGCGTGACTGTCCAGGTTCACTGTTTACTCCCCAATGAGGGCCAAATGTGCTCATTCTCCTGTCTAACCATGTGGAAGAGGCAGCGCAAACAGCCACCGCCAGGAAGCAAGTGGCTTTGGAAGAATTGAAAGCGAGGTTGTGTTTTGGTTCAGTACCCCCAGGAAGTGAGGGGTCATGATTTTGCTGGTGGCCCTGAGGTCGTCAGCTGATCAATGTCTTTGTGCGTTTGGTATCTGAAATGGCAGGACAGGTGTGTCACAGGGGCTGGGGTGAGGCTGGGAAACCCTTTGGTAGGGACTGCAGTTTAGGTAGGGACTGTAGTTTAGGTAGGGACTTTTTTTGCATTTGGGATCACAGGATTATGAAGAATTTCAGGTCATGTTTTGGTGGCACCCCTTGGAGGCTTTAGAGGCTCTGCCCCCGTCATTTTGCCTGTGTTAGTGGGATTGCATCAGGTGCAGCATCCAGACCCTTATCCGGAATCTGTGTCATGCTGCCCAGAGCCCACACAGCTTGCCGGCGGGCAGAGGAGTCCGCCGGGAGCTCAGGAAGCCGTGTGTCTGACGTGCATTTAAGCTGCCATTCCATTTTCAAACCAAGTCTCTGCCTACTAAATTTTCAGGGGTGGAGTCACAGAGCAGGAATGAATGTTTTTCAGTCAAGGACTCAAGGGTTACAGTTCAGGGCTGGGAAACAGGGAGAGAAAAGACGGCGGGTTACTGGAAACGCCTCCCATGGTGTGGTGTATCTACACTGAGGAGGAGGATGACAGGAGACCTTTCTGCAGGTCGAATGCAGGAAGAGCCCTCCATAGCCACCAGGAGGATGAGGAAGATCACCTGCGTCCAGCGTTCGTCACCCTGAGGGCTGGAGGCCAGGCAGGATGCTGGCTGCCCTTTCCTTCCTCAGGCACTCTCACTGGCCTGCAATGAGGAGTCTTTCTGTGTCTCGGTTTTTCGTTCTGGGGGTGGGATTATCTTTTCTCCAGAGTCCTTTCTGAATGCAACAGCTATTACATGAGCCTCCTTGTCAGGAGCTGGGGCTGGTGAGGGGCACCTTGCTCTCGGATCTGCAGGGACCGTGGCTCATTTTCGTTCCAGGCCTTTTTTGGTGTGTTCTGCTGCTGGCTGTTGTTCAGCAGAAGGGCTATTCCCATCCCCATTTCTGTTTTTGAGTGAGGTTTCACTCCGTTGACCTAATGGGACAAAAGGGCTGCTCTGACACCAGCGCCTTCCATACCTCGAAGGGTAGAGATAGTCGAGGTTGTTGGAAGGGACTTTCTAGTCTGTCTCCGAATCTCCAGTTCTTTAATCCTATGGCTGTGTTTGTGATTATTCTAATCACCCCCTACTGCAGATGTTTTAGTCACAAACACATCAATTTAGATATGTCCATGACTGTTCTAATCACTCCTACTGGAGATGTTTCAGGGCTGTGTCTATGACTGTCCTAATCACTCCTGCTGGAGATGTTTTAGGGCTGTGTCTGTGACTGTCCTAATCAATTCCTACTGGAGATGCTTTAGGGCTGTGTCTGTGACTGTTCTAATCCCTACTGGAGATGTTTTAGGGCTGTGTCTGTGACTGTTCTAATCACTCCTGCTGGAGATGTTTTAGGGCTGTGTCTGTGACTGTCCTAATCAATTCCTACTGGAGATGATTTAGGGCTGTGTCTGTGACTGTTCTAATCAATTCCTACTGCAGATGTTTCACCGCTATGTCTATGACTGTCCTAATCACTCCTACTGGAGATGCTTTAGGGCTGTGTCTGTGACTGTTCTAATCTCTACTGGAGATGTTTTAGGGCTGTGTCTGTGACTGTTCTAATCCCTACTGGAGATGTTTTAGGGCTGTGTCTGTGACTGTTCTAATCAGTTCCTACTGGAAATGTTTTAGGGCTGTGTCTGTGACTGTTCTAATCAATTCCTACTGGAGATGTTTTAGGGCTGCGTCTGTGACTGTTCTAATCAATTCCTACTGGAGATGTTTTAGGGCTGTGTCTGTGACTGTCCTAATCAATTCCTACTGGGGATGTTTCAGGGCTGCGTCTGTGACTGTTCTAATAACTCCTACTGGAGATGTTTCACGGCTGTGTCTATGACTGTTCTAATCAATTCCCACTGGAGATGTTTTAGGGCTGCATCTGTGACTGTTCTAATCAATTCCTACTGCAGATGTTTCACCGCTATGTCTATGACTGTCCTAATCACTCCTACTGGAGATGCTTTAGGGCTGTGTCTGTGACTGTTCTAATCTCTACTGGAGATGTTTTAGGGCTGTGTCTGTGACTGTTCTAATCAGTTCCTACTGGAGATGTTTTAGGGCTGCATCTGTGACTGTTCTAATCAATTCCTACTGGAGATGTTGTAGGGTGGCATTTAGGACTTGGCTGTGGGACCTTTTTTGATCCTTGGGTTTATTGACAGAGGTCAGGTAATTCTGTGTCATGTGCACCCAAAAGAATTCTGAATCCTTCTGTTGGTCGTTGCAGGTCTTGTCTGGATAGGGACTCCATAAGTGTAGCTCTGAATTCAGCTTCAATCCAAGGCTTCAGTTCTGGATTTGCCTATACACCTGGCTCATGGGGGTTTGGGCTTTTCTAGGCAACTGGCATTTGGGAGTCTTAGGGGGGCTGAAAAAGACAGAGGTGGAGTCGATGGAGGAGCTGGAAGGGAAGGCTGGGCAGGGGGAGTGCTGGGCAGTGACAGTGAAGGACAAGGAGGGAGGGCTTAGAGCCTGGGAGTCTGGTTCGTTGCCAGCGTCCGCCATGTTACTGACTAGCTTTAGCCAAATACTGTTTTAGTTAAGCTATTTTTAAATCAGAACTTCATTTGGAAGCCTCTTCATATCAATCAAAAAAATGCTGCCCACTGGGCCTGAACAATCTTATTATCTTTCTTTTTTAAATTGTCTCTCAATGAACAACTTCGTTAAAGTAAAATGTTTCCCCCTGGCCAGCCACTAAGGCCCAATCATCCTTGGGGAATTGATGCCACATAGAGAGCCAGGCACCAGAATTCGGGTCACAGCGAGTACATTGAAGAAGGAGTTTCCCTGAAAGAGGCGGGATTGAGACATGGCCCCTGAGAGCGGGTGGCAGGAAGAGGACGTTTAGTGCCCAGGCCTGTGCCTCAGGTCCCCAACCTGACATCTTGACACACAGAGCCTCTCCGCAGGCTCCAGCAGGTACAGCACCAGAGAGAACACTCAGAATGGATCAAAGTCAAGCTCTCAGCACAGAAAATAGACAAAGGGGAACTCCATCCTATTTTCTTGGTAGGCTGTAGCAGTCTGTCCAGGCACACGCTGACCCCAAGCCTTGTTTGTAAGAAGAGGGCACTTTTTGTGGAGAGCAAACTGTGTTGTCCGAAATCATAGCTTGGACATGATGGACCCAGAGCTGAGGGCTGTTCTGGGGGAGCCGCCCTGTCACTGGCCCCGTGGAGCTATCTGCTGTGCTGTGCAGCGTGCTCCAGGCCACAACGGGACACTCCCCATGTGGCTGATGGAAGCCCTCTTCCCCATGAGTCGCCAGCCTGAACCCAAAGCCCAGCTCCATCTCCTGGTGTCAGGACCATGAGCCAAACACCAGGCTGCCCAGAAGGGTGGGCACATGCCACCCTCACCTCAGCCTTTCCTGCCCCTCACTTCTACATTAGCCACACACCTCTTTCCCCAGGCCAGAACCCAGGAGCCATTGTCTGCCCCTGCGGCCTCAACACCCAGTCATGGCCTGTCCCCCACGTCCCTGCTCCACCTGGCCCTGGTTGTCAGCCCCAGCCCCAGCTGGCCTCCAGCCTCCATTCTCCCCTCCCCTTGAGCCAGTGTCTACACTCCTATTTCAGCCTCTCTGTCCACATCCCTGCCCACCAGGTCTCCACGACCAAGGCCAGACCTGCCCCAACCCCACTACGGTGCGGTGACCATCCTGCCTTGCCATCTGTGTCCAGCTCAGCAGCATCTCCTGGTCCTCCCTTATCTGGCCCGGCCTGGCTACTGCGTCCTCGGCTATGCACGGGAGGGGCTCTTTGGGCTTCTGAGCGTGGGAAGCCAGGATGTACCCCCTGCACTCCCCCTGCTTTCTCACTGCATGAGGCCTGATGTGCGGCCAACATGCCTGTCTCTCCCCTTCTAGGACATCATCAACTCCATGAGCAACAGCCCTGCCACCAGCAAACCCCCAGTGACGCTGAGGCTGGTGGTGCCCGCCAGCCAGTGTGGGTCCCTGATTGGCAAAGGAGGCTCCAAGATCAAAGAGATCAGGGAGGTAACAGGACCTTCCCAGCCTGGGTTGGTGCACAGCCTCTAGGCAGGCTGGGGGTGGTGGGCACGGGCCAGGCAGCCTTCCTGAACCTCATCCCTGCTGTCTGCAAGCCCAGTGCTGGCCACGCAGACCCCGCAGTTCAAAGCTCAAAACAAGAACACAGGACGCATAAACAAGCAGAAGTGTGCTGCAGGGACCCACCCCACCCACTGTCCACCCATGGGCCCGGCCCACCCACATGCACCTGTGGACCCACCCCACCCACTGTCCACCCGTGGACCCACCCCACCCACGTGCACCCGTGGACCCACCCCACCCACTGTCTACCTGTGGAGCCACCCCACCCACTGTCCACCTGTGGAACCACCCCACCCACTGCGCACCCGTGGACCCAACCCCTGACCCCGCACTTGTGGACCCACCTCACCTGCTGACTGCACACCTGTGGACCCACCCCACCTACTGCCCACCTATGTACTCATCCACCCACTGCCCATCTATGGGTCCCACCTACCCACTGCCCACCAATGGACCCAGCTCACCCACTGCCCACCCTTGGACCCACCACACCCACTGCCCACCCGTGGACCCACCCACCCACTGCCCACTATGGTCCCTGCCCACCCACTGCGCACCTATGGGCTCATCCACCCACTGCCCATCTATGGGCCCCACCTACTCACTGCCCACCAATGGACCCAGCTCACCCACTGCCCACCAATGGACCCAGCTCACCCACTGCCCACCTGTGGACCCAGCTCACCCACTGCACACCTGTGGGCCATGCTGGGGATGGGGGGAACCTGCTTGTCACATGGCTATGGGCAAGGGAGGCCCTGGGCACTGGGCGTGGCATCTGCTCCTGGTGAGGGGCCTCCACGGCACCCAGACGCGGCCCTGAGCCATTGGCCTGACCCAGCTGGTGGAATTTGCAGGTGTGAACTTCACATTCCCATGTTTGTCCTGTTTCAAGGAGAGACTGAATCCTTTCCCTGTGCAGCAGGGCAGCCACCCCCCTTCATTCCTTGCCCACAACCAGAGTCCACCTTTCTTTGTGACCTAAAACTCTCCAGGGGACAGAGAATTCCACTTATTTGAAAAGAGTAGTTTGTCTCCCTGAAAACACCTCTGATTAGATGCCTCCTATCTAGCCTCACCCAGGTGCCACGTGCACCCAAGGGAAGGTGCAGGGCCGAGTGCCAAGCTGTGGTGGCAGGGGCGGCACCAGGGCAGCTAATGACAGGGCAGGGGAGGGGACTCATGGCCCATATGCAGGTCTCCAAGGACGTGTCCTCTGAGCTGCCGTGGGTGCCAAGACTCAGGAGGTGCTGCCGCCCCGTGCGCTGCCACCCTGGTGCTCTCTTCCAACGTCCCCTCTCTCCAGTCCACAGGTGCCCAGGTGCAGGTGGCTGGGGACATGCTGCCCAACTCCACGGAGCGGGCGGTGACCATCTCCGGGACCCCAGACGCCATCATCCAGTGTGTCAAGCAGATCTGTGTGGTCATGCTGGAGGTACTGTCTGCGCGCTGGGGCCAGACCATCTGAGTGCCAGATTTGCCTCCTGCACTGCAGGCGAAGGTTTGGTCGCCCTGGTCGCCCCGAGGACTCACACAGTTGGGGCTGTGGGGGCTCCTGATCTGGGCTTCCAAGGCAGCCGGAGTGAGAATTTGTGCCAGTGTGGGCGCGTGAGGGTGCTGGGGCTGCTAGCTGAGGGTCCAGTGTCCATGGCGGCATGTAGGGCAGAGCACGTGGAGAGGAGGGAGCCCCTCTCCGGAGCTGGATGAGCGTTATCATCCCGCTGAGGGGCCTTCTGCACGGAGTTGGAGCTGCAGACACGGTGCTCATGCCGCCAGAGCCAGGCCTTGATGGGGGCCGCTGGGTGTGTGAGGGAGGCAAAGGCAGGAGGCTCCTCTGCGCCTGCAGTTCTGCAGAAGGAGGCATCAAACCGCCACGGAGGAACCAAGGGCAGAACTCACAGAACCCACGCAGAAGTAGAGAGGTGCAAGCAAAAGCTTTATCCGGAGAAGCAGAGAGGGGCCCTCAGAGCAGACGCCTCGGGGGAGGAAAAGGTTCTGAAATGTACTCAGAGTTCATGAAGCCATCAATCGTTGCTAGCTTTTCCTGACACGAAAATGAAGAAGCCCGCCCCAAATGGAAGGTTCTAGCAGCTCTGTGGAGTCAGCCTCCAGCCCCTCCTGCAGCCCCGGCTCATTCCTCTCTTGTACTCGGCTTGGGGTTTGAACCCATGTTTGACTCTTTAAAAAAATGTCTGCATAGTTTTTGTTTTCCTGAAGTTTGATATTTCGTGAAGTCAAAAATATTTTTCAAAACATTCTCGTTCTGAAATCTTCCCCACTCCCCGGTTAGGGTGACAGTGCGAGGCTGGTCTGAGCTCTCTGTTTGACCCTCCTGTCTCCGGGGCCCTGGCGGCCCTGTGGCCGAGGCTCAGGAGCAGTCAGTGACCGGAACAACTAAGAGGGACATCCCCGATGGAGGGCGAGGTCCAGCTCCGAACGACACTCGGTGTCGTCAGCGCCACCCTGGCCTCTGCTGCCTGCATCCCCGTGCCGCGCAGCGCGGCCCCACAGACAGGGCCATCGTGGAAACCACCTGTCTCCTTCCTGGGCCAGGAGGTCTGAGCGGGACAGGGAATTCACGGCAGATGTGACTGGCGAAGATGGCCAGGCAGCCTCCCTCACCCCTGCTGGCTGTGCAGCACCGAGGCCCGGGCGCCATCATCCCAGGGAGGACGTTGCGTCACACCTGGAAACAGCCTGGCCTACCCTCAGCTGAAGAGTGGCTGGAAAAACAAAGCCAAGAGTGCTTAAAGGCCCTCCAGGTTGATTGCAGGACTTCTGGGCTGAGTCGTGGGCGTGCCTCACCTCACACGCAGAAGATTGAGGAGGAAAGGGGTGCCCAGGGTGCGCGGAGTCTGTGTGGGGCCCGTCCAGAGCACAGACATCGCCACAAGTGGTGCCCTGCCCACCCAGGGCATCCCTGCACCCAGTGCACGGGAGGCCAGCAGGCCCTGTGCCCACACGGGAAGCAAGAATCATAGGTCAGTGTCAGCTAGGAGCTCCTGTGCCAGGGTGCCGTTGGGGGCCCATTGAGCAGGGGCGCCAGCATCTCCAGGAAGCCAGGGAGGGCAGTGGTGGCAGCAGCTCCCATTCCTCCCACCCCAGGGCCAGCCTGGATCAGCCCAGACCCACCCAGCATCCCCTTCCCCATATTACTGGAGGTCACACCAGGGCCCTGGCTCTGCTGGTTCGACCACCCATCCCCAGCATGGTGCTTTGAGTGTGAGTGGCGCTCCCTGAGCACTGAGCTGACCCTGAGTGAGCCGAGGCCCCAGAACTCCCAGCGGGGCAGGCTCTCCTGCCAGGAACAGTTCTGTGGGCCCAGCACCTCTCCCTGTTGGACCGACCCCAGCTGGGGTGCCCCCCAGGCCTAGGACTCCCACTTCCCTGTCCTGGGCCCAGGGGACGGCCACACGGGACTGACCCAGGAGGAGGGTCAGGCTAAAAATGTTAATCCTGAGTTTCCCACAGAATAACCAAGGGAATTTTCAGCAAACCTCATCATAACTGTGGAATTTTCCCTTTGGAGTCTATAAGCTCTTGGAAAATACTTTTTCAAATAATGAAGTGTGATGTTTCCAAGTCTCCCATGGGGATCTCTGCTGACTGTCACCACGGGCCAAGCCGAGTGCTTTGGACATGGGTCCCAGTGGAGTCCTGCAGGGCTCCCCTTTCTCCAGAGCATTCAAGAGAACTGCTCCAAGGGGCCTCCCAGCTCCCTGTGAAGCTCTGCAGCCCAGGCTTCAGGGCCCTGTGCATCCCAGGAGGGGCCCCACAGAGGGGCCAGCACCACAGGGCTCTTCTGGATCACTGGCCAGCCCTTGTCCAGCTGGGTCTCGGGTGTACGGGACCCTCCCAACTGGCCTCACACAATGGGACTGACCCTCCACACTGCCCCAGAGCCACCAGGGATGTTCAGGGCAGGTGGAACTCTCAAGAGGCCGGTGTGTGGCAAACTGTACCCCAGCGCTCAGAAAGAAGGAGCCGTCTGGAGGGGTGGGGCCGTAAGACAGCCACTCAGAGGGTGTGGGAACTGGAGTTCTTTACTCCCTCCCCAGCACTGCTGCGACTTGGGGAGGCTGAGGAGGGTGGAGCCGGTGCAGGGGTGAGTGGGGTGGGCCGGAGCCTCCCCAGAACAGGGGGTAAGTGTGGCAGGCTGGGGCGTGCCCTCTTGGTGCAGGGGGTGAGTGGGGTGGGATGGGACGTGTCTTGCTGGTGCAGGGCGGGTGAGTGGGGCGGGCTGGGGCGTGTCTCCCTGGTGCAGGGCGGGTGAGTGCGGTGGGCTGGGGCGTGTCTCCCTGGTGCAGGGTGGGTGAGTAGGGCGGGCCGAGATGTGCCTCCCCAGTGCAGGGGGTGAGTGGGGTGGGCTGGGGCGTGTCTCCCTGGTGCAGGGCGGGTGAGTGCGGTGGGATGGGGCATGTCTCCCTAGTGCAGGGTGGGTGAGTAGGGCGGGCCGAGATGTGCCTCCCCAGTGCAGGGGGTGAGTGGGGTGGGCTGGGGCGTGTCTCCCTGGTGCAGGGGGAGTGAGTGGGGTGAGCTGGAGCCTCCCCAGTGCAGGGGTGAGTGGGATGGGCCGGCGCCTCACCGTTGCCAGGCTGCAAAGCTGCTCTAATGCTCTCTCTCCCTCTCCTGTCCCTTTTCCTAGTCCCCACCGAAAGGTGCCACCATTCCCTACCGCCCAAAGCCCGCCTCCACCCCTGTCATTTTTGCAGGTGGTCAGGTAAGAGCCGACCCGCTCGCGGCCTCCACTGCCAACCTCAGCCTTTTACTGCAGCACCCGCCGCTGCCCGTTAGTGCACTCAGGTTTTCTCGCCTTCTCACGTGCACGTCTCCCACCCGCGCTGGACGCAGAGCTCTCCCACCTACACCCAGCACCGGCTGGCACAGGGCCCTCAGAGCACATCCCCCACAGAGACGGCCCCACACAACTGTGTCCTCCCCAGCCCAGGCAGGAAGGATGAGCAGACCACACTCTGAGATCTGCCTCTGCCTAACCGGTGCCTGGGAACTGGCTGCTCTTAGGAAGCTTAGATAGCCGGCACACAGGTGCTTTCCAGGTGACTTTGCGGCTCATGCTGGAAACAGCTAGCACGGGAGAACCAGGGTCTCGTTTCCCGACATCCGTGTTCCCAGCTCCCAGGATGCGCTCGTAGCCGGGACACGCGGGAGGGAGGAGCTCTGCACAGAGGAAGGACGCGTGGCCTGGCGAGCCGTGGCCTGGCGAGTGGGTATCTGCGCCGCTGTGCCAGGACCTCCCTCTGCTCTGAGCCGGGGCCTTGCAGGTGCCCCACGTCCTGTCTGTAAAGCTGGCCCTTTTGGTTTCCGCACTCCAAGTCCACGTCCTGCCAGGAATGGCAGCACCTCTGGAGGAGCTCAGAGGATGGGGGCCCTGCCGCAGCCCCTCACCTGATCCCAAACCCTGCCCAGGGCACAGGGAGCACCCGCCCACCCCAGGGCTCCTGCGGCCCTCCGTGGCCAACAGACTTGGAAGGCGTCCGGCGGGGGTTGGCCTGGAAGAGCTCTGTGTCCAGTCGGCCGCGATGTGTGTCTTTGTTCAAGGGAGAGTTGAGACAGACGTCCCCACAGGTGACCCTGGCAGGGCAGAACGGGCCTGAGGTTTTACTTTACCATCAGAAAGGAGACAGAAGAGGCAAATGTTAGGACTTTTCCTGGTGTTTTCCTTAGGATGTAGAGGAATCTTAGCAGAGCTCCCACTTGTGGCCCACATTGGAGGGCGAGGCTGGGGTGTGTCCATCCCGCCCGGCTGTCCCGCATGCTCAAAGCAGAGCACGCCTTCCCCCACCCCCCGACCCTGCACCAGCCTTGTCTCCACAGCCTGGCACACGCCCCTTCCTGCCCTGCTGTAGTCAGGGAGCCCCCACATGCACACACAGTCCTTACAGCAGCCCCAGGACACGGCACACCCCTATTTTACAGCCAGAAAACTGGGCCTGATGAGCCAGGGATCTGCCTGGTGTCACAGCCTTGTGGGCACATGAGACATGTCCTTACCTCACCAACCCAGGGGGCTCTGGTCACCGGGGATCACACGGAGTCATACAGTGGGAAAAGTCCCTGTGCAAAACTGCATTTCACTGCTTTCCCCCCAAATTCATGATTAATTAACAGGGTTAGTAACCTCTGTGGACTCCACCTTGATGTTTAAACAAATCCATGATAATGCCCTGTGGTAAAAGGAGGGATTTTGTTCAAAAGGAATGTGTGTTTATACAAACATCTGTGGAGTCTTCAAGCCACTGAGGGTGGGGTCACCGCTCTAGGGGAGAGGGTGTACTGCTCAGCTGCCAGCCATGCGCCCCTAACTCCTATATAGAGGGTGGCAGCCAGCCACGTGCCCCTAACTCCTATATAGAGGGTGGCAGCCCGCCCTCCCGACTGCAGCAGTTGAAGGGCTCTGCAGTGGATGCTGTCCCAAGGCTGAGGCTAAAATGTCAGCCCTTTGAGAAGTGGGCCCCAGGGCCCTGGGAACAGTCTGGCCTGGCCAGTGGTCAGCCTTGGTGGTGTGGAGGACAGAGTCACAGGGAGTTACTGCCCTCAGGTAACCCAGGGGAGCTGCTGAAATGCAAACCCAGAAGTGAGGGCATGAATAAGACCTGAGCCTGCAAGCCGCTGGTGTCTCCTGGATGACTCAGACCCAGAGTGCCAGTACAGACATAAGAGAGGTCACCTGGAGGACCCACCCACTGTGTTTCTGTTCAGTTGCAGAAATCAGGGGCCTAGAAGATGCCCCACCACTGTGGGTGCTCTGAAGCATCCATGCAGCTCCCCTGAGGCCTCTGCACCAGCAGCAGCTCCTGTCAGCCACCCCCACGTTTCTAGCACATTTTCATGGGTTCAAATAGCAGAGCCTGCTAAGGGACAAGCAGGTAGAAAACATAACGACAGTAAGAAGACAGTCAGAAAAGCAGCGTGGCCTAGGTTGCAGAATGCTTTGAGCCCTTGTGGTTCAGCTCAGACAGGCAGGGCTGACCTGGGACCCCGTGTGCTGAGGGGCGGCTCCCAGCATGAGTCCAGGGCCCACTGCCTTCCTTGACACGCTGGAGCCTGTCCCTGGAAGCACCTTTACAAAACACTCACAGTCGGTCCTCATGACACTTTGTACAGGACAGCGGGGTCCTTGGTTCCTGCTCGATCTGATAAGATTCTTTTACTTCCTCTGCCGATGCAGCACAGTGGCCTCACAGCCCTGGGGTTTCTTTCAAAGCTGGAGGTCAAGTGGCCTTTAACTGTCCGGAAGTCAATTGGCCTTTAACTCCCAGGATTGACTTATGATGAAAACTCTTGGCAGATTCAAAACCTGTGGGAGGGTTTGGGCTGCACAAAGGTGACACGCATCCTTCCCTGAGGCACCCCTCGCGTGTGGTCACCGTGGACACCACGGGTCCTCATGGGAAGTGGCGTGGGGCCCACACAGCCAGGGGCTGGTAGCCGCATCCTCCACCCCAGGGCCACCAACAGGCCTGGTGCAGCCCCGTCCTCCCCACATCCTGACAGCTGTCGTGTTTGCTCTCCCTTGACTCTGTGTGATCCGTTTGTTGTCTGGCCATGAAATCACTGGAATCACCTGAAAGCGTCTTCGCTGATGGGACCTGTGGGGCAGATGGGGCCTCACTCACCTGCCCAGATTTCAGAGTCAGGGTGGGTGGGAAGGGGCTGCAGGTTGGAGTCACTTTTGAAGGCATGGGAAATACTGAACCAAAATGAGGCCTCGGGGGCCCCACATGACATCTTGGCTGGTGCACATTGCTGCCCCCACAGCAGAAGGTCCACCCCCTCCTGTCTTAACGGCACCCATGAAAGGCAGCAAGCTGTGACTAACACAGACCCACTTCCTATGTAGACTGGCTTTTGCCAAACTGGCTTTTGTCACCTTTTAGAGCTTTCTTTTGTTGTTTGGATTTCTTGGGGTAAATATTTCCCAAAAGTACCCAGACGGCTGATTCTATTTTCAAAACCTTAATAATCAGTGGACCTCCTACTGGGAGTCAAACAGATCATTCTTAGATGATTTTGCTTTAAGAAACTTGTAGTCACAGGAGTTGGAAGCATCATGGCTGAACTGTTGCCCTCCCACCCACGGACCTGGCCAGCTCAGCTCTGCCCGCCCAGAGGAAGTGGGGGAGTCTCCCCTGGGCTCTTGGTCCCCTGGGAGGCTTGGTTCTTTGTCCCGGGATGGGGACAGGTGGAGAGGCCCAGTACCGGGAAGCTTCTACCGGAGGGTCCTTGTTATGCTGGAGGGTGGTGGCCATGACGGGCGGAGGTGCAGCCGGGTCGCAGTCTGACGGGGTCTCTCTCTGTCTCTCTAGGCCTACACAATCCAGGGACAGTACGCCATCCCCCATCCAGATGTGAGTCTTCACTTTGCCTTCCTCTCTCCTTTCTCTTCTCATAGTTGTTTACCTACCTGCATGCTGCTGTTAATTGCTACTAACATTAATATTACTCAATAATATTAATCGACGTCTCAGCGTTCCTGACCTGTGTCGTATCCATATGACCTTGAATAACCTTTTAACCTCTTAGCACTGATCTTGCTTGTGTTGAGGACTTGGCCTGATGTCAAATTGTCTTCCCTCTGCCGCAGCCCCGGGTTTTCCTCCCTCCCACAGGGCCTCAGAGGGGACTGAGGACAGTTCTGTCCTGTGCAGGGCGCTGAGGGTACACTCACCCTACAGGCAGGGGTTAGTGGCACTTCCTGTGCGCCTATGAAGTTGGGTGACATTATCAAACAGGCCACAAAGATACTTTGCCAAGGACATTTGAGGGCCTGGTGAAATTGACTTTCCCCTTTCAGAGTCCAGATGGAAACGTAGGGTCCATCTACGCATAGAGATCCCAGCCGAGGCAAGCCAGTGGGGCAGGCCTTGGTCTTCCTTCCAGAGTCAGTGCGATGCCACGCCGGCGTCACCATGCCTGGCTCTCGTGCAGAGCTGGGTCCCATGTGGCTCCAGGCCCAGCGGCTCCCACCCTGTCTCCTGCTGTGCTGGGTCTGGGTGTGATTGCAGAGCTGGAGGAAGAACATACCCTCAGACAAACTGTCCAAGGGGGACCTCGGGCTGTGCAGCTCGAGCCCTTGGGAGCCTAGAGACGAAAGTGGCAACCTGTGAGCAGAGGTCCTCTCTGGAGACCACTTTAGGGCCCCCAGGGAGTGAGGGCTGCACGGCAGACGCTGGGGAGGGGAAGGGAGAGGAAGAGAGAACAGAAGATGGCCTCAGCGGAAGCTGCTTGGTGCTGTCTGCAGATGGGACAAGCCGGGAATGGGTTCTGAGGAGGTTTTCTCTTCTCTAAGCCATTTGAATGTTGCCCAGCTCAGCAGCTGCTCCTCCTAACGCAGTTCTGGGCCGTGTGCTGCTCCCTGTGAACTGCCAGAGGTGCTGTGTGCTGGACGGAGTAGGGCTGCTCAGGGGCCTTCTGCAAACCCTGCTGCCTCTGAGCTGGGGGCAGGGATGTCCATCTGAGTGAGATAAGAAGGCAGGTCGGGAACATTTTTAAGAATTAATGATCATTAAATAAGTCTTTGATATAGAGATGCAACATTATTGCAGGAAAATTTGTGAGTGAAGAGATACCAATAGTTATTCCATTTAAAAGAATTCTCATAGAGGCAACAGTGAATCAAATGGTAGAGAAACGCTGATTAAGAAAAGCCTTTCCCCTCTGCCCGCGAGGCCATGTTTAGTAGCTCCTGGCTTTAGACCTTTGGCGATGCTGCTGTAGCTACATCAAGGCCGTCTCATCCTGGAGTCAGCTGTACACACCAGTGCCTGAACCCACCAGGAAGCCGGGCTGTGGCCATCACTCACTGGAAGGCACTGTTGGGGCTGCCCCAGCCTGCACCCAGCCGCAGTGCTAGGCAGAAGCAGAGGCGTGTGTGTGCATGTGTGTGTGCGCGTGTGAGTGTCCCCGTGCATGTGTGCAGCAGGGGCGCAGGGGCTGTTGTGATGCCTCCTAACAGAAAGCCTATGTGAAGGAAAATGGCAATGGAAGCCAGGGGAGTCAGAGCTGACTTTCTGAGCTGGCCCAGGTCTGTTTCAGACTCAGGACAGGTGGCCATGCACATCTAGGGATGCATGTGTGTGCAGAGGCAGGTTCTAAAGGGGGGTCACTTGACTTTGCCAAGCTCTGGAACCTGAAGGAAAGGCAGTGTGTGGCCCTTGTGGTAGAGGGAAGGTTTGTCTTTACCCCGCGCTGTAGCCCTAAAGTTGTATATTCAGACCTGCAGGGACCTTCTGGTGACACATGGGTTTCCTGTGACCACAGAGCCTAAAGTTCCCACTGCTGCCTTTGGCTGAGCACCTGTCTGAGTCGGAGTGCTTATTGGTCTGAAATTCCCAGAGGCTGTGTCTCCGTGTGCACATGCGTGGGAGCGCACGTGTGATGGGTGTGGGTATTGACTTTTACATGGATTGGTGGCTTTGCTTTCCCACGTGACTTTTTCAGCATACCCATAAATGGGTAGTTTTGCAGATTGTTTCAAATTAGCTTAAACGAATGTATAACTAGCTGTTGGAGAACTGCCTCTGTGCACACAGTAGTGATTTAAGATACCTGGTTTAAATGCGTCTGTTCCTCCACTTTCCGTGTTGGAACCGCATCACCAAGGTGATGGTATTAGAGGGTGGGGCTCCCGGGGCTGGGCATATTCATGAGGGCTCCACCCTTGTGAACTGAGTTGGTGTCCCTGTAACGGGGGCTTCAGGGAGTGGCCTCCCCCCCACCCCTCCTGCCATGTGAGGACAGAATGTTCAGGCACCATGTTGAAAGCAGAGACGGGGTCCTTCCCAGACAGCAAACCAGCCAGCACTTTGATCTCAGTTTCCAGCCCCCATCACTGTGAGCCATGCATTTACGCTGTTTGTGAATTACCCAGTCCAAGGCATTTCATCCCAGCAGCAGGAGTGGACTGAGATGCTTGGTTCCTTACTGTGAAACAGCTGTCTGTGGAAGACACTCTGTTGTCTCCGTCAGTGTTGTGAGATTCGCAGAGCAGCTGTTAATAGAAGAATGGAAGCTTCCGTAGTGCTTTTCTTGCAGGCATGTAACATTGAAAACTCGGACAATCACTTAATTCGTTAAATGCAAAAATAAAATGATCATTTGGTGACATAGGTAACAATGATCAGGAAAGCAATTTTTATCTGAGCTTGGTATTCAGTAGAAATTTTAAAAGCTTCAATTTCTTAGACTATCAATATGATATAGAATATATTATTTTAATTTATAATATAATCGAATAAAAGGTTATTTATACAACAGTGGTGGCTTACGTACAGATACTAGAGTCATTTTTTAGCAACGTGATATTTTACCTGGATGTATGGGCCCATGAATAAGAAACATCAAACATAAGAAAATACGCTCCTTAGGTTTGAGTATTTCTTTACGTAAAACTAAAAAAATGCATGTGTTTTCTGTGCCCAATTTTAAAAAGTGTTTTTAGCTTGTTCTTATTTAAGAATCATCAGGCTGGACATGGTGGCTGAGGCCAGCCGTGGTGGCTCATGCTTGTAATCCCAGCCCTTTGAGAGCCTGAGGCAGGTGGATTTCTTGAGCTTAGGAGTTTGAGACAAGCCTGGGCAACATGGTGAGACCCGTCTCTACCAAAAATACAAAAAATTTAGGCAAACCTGGTGGCACATGCTTGTAGTCCCAGTTACCCAGGAGGCTGAGGCAAAAGGATTCCCTGAGCCCGGGACATGGAGGTTGCAGTGAGCCAAGATCCTGCCACTACATTGCAGCCTGGGCGACAGTGAGAACCCATTTCAAAAAACGAACAAACAAAAAGCAGTCATTGGCACTCACCTGCCCACCCGCTTTTCTCCAGCTCCGCGCACACCACTGGCGTCATTTTACCTGCGCCCTCCTGGAGTTGCATTGTGCTGTCGACGTCCAGGTGTTCTGAAGAGGCACACAGCCATGCTGGACCGCGGGAAGGACTTTGGAGGACAGAAGAGGACATTTCGGGGTCGGCCTCAGCCACGGTCCGGTCAGGTTCTCCAGCATGGGCACTAAGGAGCCTGGGAGACTGTCCACGTGCCTCTGTGTGTCCTGCCTGGCCCAGGCCAAGTGCAGTTTCAGAAACGAGAAAGAGAAACAGCACCTGAGACCTGGGACCTGAGAGCAGAGCAGAAAGCGTGCACACCTGGGCAGACTGCCTGACTCCCACCCAGCACGTCCGCCCTCCTGAGAGCAGAGCAGAGTGCACACGTCTAGATACACGCCGGGACACGCACACGCCTGGATATGCACACGCCTGGACATGCCTGGACACACACATGCCTGGACACGCACGCCTGAACACACACATCTGGACGCACGTGCCTGGACACCCACACACCTGGACACACATGCGCCTGGACACACACGTGCCTGGACACGCACACACCTAGATACACACACCTGGGCATGCACATGCCTGGACACGCACACATCTGGACACACATGCACCTGGACACGCACACACCTGGACACGCACACCTGGGCATGCACGCCTGGACACGCACACATTTGGACACACACCTGGACACACCTGGACACGCACACACCTAGATACACACACCTGGGCATGCACACGCCTGGACACGCACACATCTGGACACACACCTGGACACACCTGGACACGCACACACCTAGATACACACACCTGGGCATGCACATGCCTGGACACGCACACATCTGGACACACATGCACCTGGACACGCACACACCTGGACACACCTGGACACGCACACACCTGGACACACCTGGACACGCACACACCTGGACACACGCCTGGACACGCACACGCCTGGACACACACACCTGAACACACACGCCTGGACACACGCCTAGGCATGCACACATCTGGACACACATGCATCTGGACACGCACGCACCTGGACACGCACACGCCTGGACAGACCACTTCTCTCTCACCCAGCACTTCTGCCCCTTTAATGACAGTGGTGCAGTTACACCAGAAAGGAATTGTTTTTTTCTGGAAGATATTAGTGAACTTCAAAAATACCCTCATTGGCCAGGTACAGTGGCTCTCTCCTGCCGTCCCAGCACTTTGAGAGGCCAAGATAGGAGGACTCCTTGAGCCCAGGAGCTCGAGACCAACTTGGACAAAAAAGCAAAACCTCATCTCTACAAAAAATACAAAAATTAGCTGGGTGTGGCGGCACGCACCTGTAGTCCCAGCTTCTCAAGAGGCTGAGGTGGGATAGTTACCTGAGCCCCAGAGGTCGAGGCTATAGTGAGCAGAGATTGCACCACTGCACTCCAGCCTTAGCGACAGAGCAAGACCTTGTCTCAAAAAAAGAAAAAATACCCTCAGATAAATGAATCTTTATTTCTAGTCTTCCAA